TACGTGTCGGGACATGGTTTATGTTATCATTCGGACGAAATTTTTTTACTAATAAGCAAATAGCTTATTTACTTATTGAGACCCAAAGGGTTTAAGGAATGTCACGTCTCTGTAACGTAAAAGTAGAAAAGGAAGAAATAATTAAGAAAAAAGAAAAAGCGATAGAAGAAAAGTATAAAACGATGAAAAATAGTGTTAAAATCATAGTATTCTCAAGCAAGCGAGCGAGCGAGCAGTCTTTGGAATCTTTGGATCGAAGGAAACGAGAATATGGAGCATGAGTTGTTGGAGCAAGAGTTGAAGGAGCAATCCGAGCGACTGAATTCGATCGAAGATTTTGCCGCGTGGGAGCAACGATGTGTTGAGTTTATCAAAGTGTTGGAAGAACAAAGCCGAAATAAACAGCCTCGATTATCAATCGACAACCAACATAGGCAACCAACTTCGTTGGCGGCTCAAATCGCACGACTCGAAGGTCTGAAAGATTCGATACGTCACGTGCATGTGGGTGCAGGATATAGTGCGAGTGAGACAGGACTCAGATGGCGCGAGATAGATACGGCTTTCGAAAGTCGCATATTGACTGGTGCGGTGATCAATACCGATCACATTAAACCGCGAAAATTTCTCGAAGATGCAAGAAACATTGTATTTGATCATGTGCGGAACGTCATACAACAACATGACAGTGTAAAAATATACACAATGTTCAACGGTGAGTTTGTGGCGGGCGATAAACGCGCAAACAAAAGTATTTATTTGAGAAGCTATGAACTTCTTCTCGAGTCCGATCTGCAAGAGTGGTATGAGTTGCGCGTTATCGAGCCCACTTTAGCATCGCTGGAGGAATTCCAGGAACGTGACAGCGGGTGGGCGTTGTCGCGTATACATAATTTAATGCTAAATATAAACAAACATAATCCATTGCACGCGGGGTGTTACATCAATTTACCGGAAGAAATTAAATTAAAGAAAGCAGTGATCAACGTGGAATCAATGGACAATGCATGTTTTATGTGGTCAGTGGTGGCTGCTCTACATCCAGCCAAAATTAATACAAATAGAATATTTTCATACCCACATTATAAAACAGTATTAAATTTACAAGGCATCGAATTCCCAATGTCGATGCGTCAAATTAAAAAATTTGAAGATCTCAACGTCATTTCAATCAACGTATATGCCATCCAGAAAAAAAACAAGGATCAACATACAATCCTTCCAATACGGCTCACCGATCGAAAGATAAATAACAAACACATAAATTTGTTGTACGTGGAAGATCCGCAAGATGCTAACGTAGGACATTTTACCTGGATAAAAAATGTATCGCGTCTTGTTAGCTCACAATTGAGCACGCACCATAGCCGAAAATGCTTTTGCGATTGGTGAGTATACATCCTAATAAAAAATAAAAATAATTTTTACGTAAAAGATATATAAAAAAATTTCATTATTTACAGATGTTTCCACTATTTTTACACGAGCGAGAAATTGGAAGCCCACACCATCGACTGTCGGGAGATGAACGACTGCGCGATCAAGTTACCGAGCGATAACGACAAGTGGCTGCAATTCAACAACTACGGCAGGAAAGAACGAGTTCCATTTATCGTATACGCCGACCTGGAATGTACCCTGGAGAAGACGGCAGCGGATCCTGAAACGTCCGGCATATACCAACACCATAAGGTATTTAGCGTCGGATATTACGTGCATTGCTCATACGACGACTCATTATCCGCGTATCAATTTCGTCGCGATAATGACTGCGTCGCGTGGTTTGCCGAGGAACTCAAAGGATTGGCGCATCGCGTAAAGAACATCTTGTCCGACAATGTACCCATGGCGGATTTTACGCGAGACGAGTGGAAAAAATTTAACAGTCTGACGCAATGTCACGTGTGCGAGAAACCGTTCGCGCCAGACGACACGCGGTTACGCGATCACTGTCATTTAACCGGTAGGTATCGAGGTCCCGCACATTCGACATGCAATTTGAATTATAAGAATTCTCACTTCATCCCAGTAATATTCCACAATCTGTCGGGCTATGATGCACATTTCATTATCAAAGAGATAGCTACTGCGTTCGAAGGCAAGATCGATGTACTGCCTATATAACAAAGGAAAAGTACATCTCATTTACTAAACACGTGAAAGACACCACGGAAAGATCTGATTTGCGAAACGATATAAAGTTAAGATTTATCGACTCGTATAAATTTCTGAGCGCGAGTCTCGCAAAATTGTCATCCTTCCTAGATAATAATAAATTAAAAATTATACGTTCAAAATTTTCCACGTTATCCAACAACGATTTTGAATTATTGACGCAAAAAGGTGTCTTTCTGTATGAGTACATTGACTGCGTCGAAAAGCTGGAGGATATATGTTTACCACCGCGCGATTCATTTTACAGTTCCTTGACCGGTGACACCGTATCCGAGAGCTATTACGCGCACGCCGTGAACGTCTGGCAACGGTTTTCCATTCAAACCTTGGGTGAATACAGCGATCTATACCTAAAAACCGATGTCTTGTTATTGACCGACGTGTTTGAAAATTTTCGCGATAGCTGCGTCGCGAGTTACGGACTCGATCCAGCGCATTATTACACTCTACCGGGTTTCACGTGGGACGCTATGTTAAAACATACACGCATTAATTTCGAACTACTCACAGACATTGATATAATAATGTTTATCGAACGTGGTATTCGCGGCGGTCTTAGTCAATGTTCCGGTAGATACGCGCAAGCTAATAACAAGTACATGCAATCTCACGATTAGTCGAAATCATCGTCGTACCTGATGTATTTCGATGTAAACAACTTGTACGGCTGGGCGATGTGTGAGCCATTGCCCTACGCAGATTTTCGATGGGTCAACAACATCTCGAACTTTGACGTGAACGCGATCGCTTCGGATTCACTCACAGGTTATATTCTCGAAGTTGATCTCGAGTATCCACAGTGTTTGCATGATGCGCACGTTGATCTACCGTTCTGTCCGACGAGCGATAAGCCGCCCGGCAAACGAGAGAACAAACTTTTCGCGACTTTATACAATAAGGAGCGTTACGTCATTCATTATCGCAACCTACAGCAGTGCACGCGCCATGGCCTTTGCGTCACAAAGATACATTGCGTATTGCAATTCACTCAATCTGCGTGGCTCCGCGCTTACATCGAACTCAATACAAAATTTAGAACACTAGCCAAAAACGATTTCAAAAAGAATTTGTATAAATTAATGAACAACGCTGTATTCGGTAAAACTATGGAGAATGTGCGCAATCACGTCGATGTAACATTATTAACATACTGGGACGGACGATACGGTGCGGAGCCAATGATCGCGAAATCAAACTTTCACAGCAGGAGCGTGTTTTCGAAGAATCTAGTAACAATAGAAATGCGAAAACTCAAAGTGAAGTTCAACAAATCAATCTACGTGGCAATCTATGTGCATCCTCGATATATCCAAGACATGTTTGTATGAATTTCATCACGAGTACATGTTACCGTTGTATCGCGACAAATGTAAAGTTATGTATACACCGATACGGACAGCCTTATATACCACATCGAGTGCGACGATGTGTACGAGACGATGAAACGCGACATCGACAGATTTGACACAAGCGATTATCCGATAAATAACGCGTACGGTATACCACTTGCAAACAAGAAGGTGCCGGGCTTAATGAAAGACGAAAACAATCGCGCAATCATGACAGAATTCGTTGGACTCAGAACGAAGATGTATGCGTTGAAGGTAGATGGTAAAAAAGACACTAAAAAAGCAAAAAGTGTCAAGAGTAACGTCGTAGCGCGTACTATAACGTTCGACGATTACACGCGGTGTCTGAAGGATACAATTGAAATGACGCGACAGCAGTTCTCTATAAGATCAAATATGCATGATGTGAACACCATCCGCGAAGATCACTCTGAGTCCGTACGACGATAAGCGATACATTATACCCGATTCGATCGATACGTTACCGTGGGGACATTATCAAATACTCCCTCCGAAAACGTAGTGTATTGTATGTATAAAATGTAATAGTATAACGTAATGTAATGTAATGTAATGTATGTACGTATGTATGTATGGTAACGTAACGTAATGTAACATAAAGTAAGGTAATGTAACGTATATTATATTGTTGGAAGGGATATTAATAAAAATATTGTACATGTATCTATTTAATATTTCTTACATAGTTTATTTTTCATATGTTTTAAAATACGATCTGCATGAATTAAATAACATTGTCCTTGTGTATCCATGAGTTGTGCGATCCATCGAATCCCAGCCATTTCACCTCGTAGACCTCGTCTTCCCTCCTGCGCAGTACTTTCTCCACGAGATACGTGTCCGGGTAAGCCACGCGATGTAACTCGTGCCCATAGAACGCTCCAACGATAGATTTTCCGCGATAGTCCTCCAGCAGATAGGTTGCTGAATTAGTGTGTTGCATTTTAACGATCTTAAACATCTCGGTGCTCCAATTTGGTGTGTAATCCTCCTCGAAAATTGTCTTGTGCTTGCTAACGCGTACCCGATCGCCTACTTTGAACTTTGTCAAACCTGCGATCTTGATCGCGCTGTACACCGTGGTTAAGAGTCTTTTAGCGATTGCTGGAGTAACGTCGATGGGCCGCATGCCGATCGTTCGATGCTTGCGCGCACATATTATTCTTTAACGTGCGATTGAATCGCTCGACGACTGACGCCTTCAACACCGAATATGTGGAATAATGATTGACGTTGTGTTTCCTCACGAGACGTTGCACGTTGGTGTTGTAAAATTCCTTCCCCATATCGGTTTGTAAGTTTTTCGGACATCTCCCGCTCTCTCGAATTATCTTGGCGATAACTTCAGCCGTCTCCACCTTTACTCTTGAGCGGTACAGCCCACGCATACTTGCTCAGTATATAATGGTAACCTTTGTTGAAATGTGAGTATGGGCGCATCTCGACAATGTCAGCCTGCCACAGGTCGTCGTATCCCCGAACTATGACGTGTCTTCGTGGAAAATTTCTTCTCGCTGGAGCATGCAATTCTCGATATTTTTACGTTCATCGGATGTCATGTTTTTTTTTTAACGGTGCGTAATATATAATATGCACAAAGAAATTATATTATGATTTATATCTCAAACTTTTTTTAACAATTCAATAGCCATTTATTTCCATTCATTATCTTTCAATAGCCGTTCTTTGTCTACTAGCCGTTTATAGCCATTCGCTAGCCGTTCATAGCCATTCGCTAGCTGTTCATAGCTGTTTCTGAGTCGTTCGTTAGCTGCTTGATAGCTATTCCTGAGCCGTTCCTGAACCGTTCGTCGTTGCCGTTCATCGTCGTCCGTTAATCGTTCATAGCCGTTCCATTTGTTGCTATCCATTGTTGCTGTTGTTCGTTTTTGACTCAGCGGTGGCCAAATGTCGAAGCTCGTGTATCACAATCCGTAACGCTTGAAGATCCTTCTCAAACACAGCTAGCTTCTCGTCTGACTCTTTCTGTCAATTGCTCGACATTTTAAAGCATTGATCCACGTATAGTTTGTTAACCACATCATCATCAGCTTCTGGTTGCGCCACACGTCGAATCTTGCGCGATTTTGCATCAAAGTGCTCTGAATGTAAACGTGAAGAAATTCAAGCAAGCGCGGGTAAACGGTGCACCCTGTGCCCTTTACCCATAAAACTGCTGGGCTGCTGCCCAATCCCAGGTCCTATCAGCTGGGTAACGGATGCAGCCGGTAGTACTGAACAAGGTAGCGTTTCGCGAGGCGAGCGCGGCGTGCTCATGCGTAGGAGGTGCCCAATACGAGCGGGGTATATGGCGCACCACGTGCCGTATATTCCTAAGGCGCGTTGACTGCTGCCGAATCCCGGATCCCCGGGCAACCGATGAGCGACGCGTTAACAGTACGGGGTGACTCGTGCGATTACGTGGTAGCTGGTGGCATGGCACTAGCGACGGCGACTCGTCAAACGTGAGCTAAGATCGCTCGACACGAGTACTACGGGGATAGGGAACCCCGCCGGGAGGCTACCGGTGCCCTACCAGATGGTGTCGGACTCGTAGGGGCAGAGGTTTCGCATAGCCAAGTGAGCGGCATAGAGGGCCTAGTGTGGGTCAGCGCTATGAAGCTCATGTTGCGCATTACCTGTTAGTGGGGTGCCTTGGCACCCCGGTCCTGTCAGTGGAGCTGATCTAATCCAAGTGGGTCATGCTCGCTGCAGGATTTAATCCTGCTACCTGGGGAACAGCTCAGGTACAATGTGAGTCATATGTGCGTTACGGGAAACCGTGTCTGCCAGTGGCCAGAGGTGTCGCCTATACCGGGAGTACGTAATCCGAAGGGTATGTATCTCTGTATGGGCAAATCCACGGTGGCGGGTTCCGTTACTGCTGTGCAGGGAAGTACTGATAACGTTCAGTCGCACTCCGACCACGAGGTGGACTCTGGGGGGGCTAACCGCCCCCCCAGACCCCCCGGTGCGGTCGTAACTATAACTCTCTTAACAGTAGCCAAATGCCTCGTCATCTAATTAGTGACGCGCATGAATGGATTAACGAGATTCCTACTGTCCCTATCTACTATCTAGCGAAACCACTGTCAAGGGAACGGGCTTGGAAAAATTAACGGGGAAAGAAGACCCTGTTGAGCTTGACTCTAGTCTGGCACTGTAAGGAGACATGAGAGGTGTAGCATAAGTGGGAGATGGCAACATCGCCGGTGAAATACCACTACTTTCATCGTTTCTTTACTTACTCGGTTAGGCGGAGCGCGTGCCCCGAGGGCTTCGTGCCCCGGCGGTCACGGTGTTCTAGAGCCAAGCGTGTCAGAGTGGCGTGAGGCCTCGCGGCCGATCGCCGTTAATACTCCCGCGTGATCCGATTCGAGGACACTGCCAGGCGGGGAGTTTGACCTAACCTAACCTTGAAGCCGTGCACTAAAACGGTGCGCGGCCAACTATTAGGCCAACCACGGGTGGTCCTTGCACGTTTGACGCCCGAGGAAATAAGCCGAGCGGAGCGACGGGCGACGCCGTAGCCGCGGCCAGTAGCAGAGAGGAGCCGGCGAAGCACGCCGTCGCCGGCGGTAAGCCGACAGGTCGTTCAGCATTCCGTGCAATTGGCGGGAGACGCGCGATCATGGGGCTCTTACGCCGAGCTCGAGGCAATTAGACGCGCTGCCGAAGCTTTCGACAGCGCGTACCGAATCGAGCTCACCCGTGTCACCGTTACGGACACGGTATCGATAACGGCCGTGCCGATGCAGCAGCCGTGGGAGCAGCCGGAGGACGAGGACGAGCCGGACTTCGCCAGCCCGTCCAGCGAGGAAGGCGATGCGGCCGACGAAAAGGGGACATCCCCGGATTAATTTTAAGAAATACCAAGACGTTCCGAGGACGGAGTTGTAAATAGTTATTCCATTTTAAAATAAATAAAGTTATCCAGCCTATCCGTCCGGCGTTCTAAGCAATAAGATATGCGACAGCGGTCGCTGGGCAGCGGCCCATCTAGCATATAAGCATTTATTTTCAGCGATCCACAAGTACTTTCATTTTCCTTTTCTCGGCACCGAGTGCCAGGACCGACCAGGGAAGCAGTTTTCCGTTTTGATTTAATAGGTGCGTGGATTAGCTATAGCACCGGAACGATGATTGGTCGAGCCACACACAATCTTCAACGCGGGAGCGCGGGATTCAGACAACGCGCACGTCAGGCGAACGAGAGTTGAGATGCCGACTCCTGGCATCCTCACGAGAGGATCATTCGAAAATTAGCGCGATCCGACCGCGCAAACATGGGGTTTGCCGGACATCCGGCGAAACACACGAAGGGGGCGCCGTGGCGCCAAACGGCTCAAACTGCCGCCAGAGGAAGGCTTCACCGACCTCTGGGGAATATCGCGAACACGATCCGATCGCGCGAACCCCAGGTTTGCCGGACACGTCACGAAATGACGAACGCGGTGACGCAGCGCCAAAAGGCTTGAACTGCCGCCAGAGGAAGGCCTCACCGACCTCTGGAGACCATCGCGAACGCGATCCGCCCGCCCAAACACCTGGTTTGCCGGACAAGGGGCAATATGGCAAGCGAAGCGTCGTAACGTCGCGGCATGAAATATGTGTGTTCGGGGGCACGAATTAGCCCTAGAGACTAAACGCGAATGCGATCTGACCGCGCAAACATCCGGTTTGCCGGACAGACTTAATATCGTGAACCGAGCGTCGGAGCGAACTGAGAGTCGATATGCTCACTCAGGGAAAGTCGGGAACACATCCGAGTCAATCGCGAGTGCGATCTGACCGCGCAAACACCCGGTTTGCCGGACAGATGATAAAGAGTAGGATTGCGTCACCAGGGACACCTGGTACACCCGAAGATCGAAGCGCGATCAAAATCCGACCATCCTAACAGGGGGTTGTCCGGACAGTCCGGACAACTAGTAGTTTCAGACGTCGGCTACAGGAAGTAAGACCGGAATACGATAGATAAGGACCTAAAGAGTGGGCATCTAGGTCGCCGCCATTGGCGGACGATTTAAACGCGACCTGGACGTCTTCTCCAGGAAGTCGACGCGGAATCGTGATCTGGGACCTCCGAGAGACCTTGCGCACCGGTCGACGTCATCATAAGTTCATAATTGTAAAAGTTGAATTGTTGCTACCCGGAAGTCGAAAGAGCGCAACGCATATAGTGTACTAGCGTTGGAAATTTCCATCGCGAACATCTGGCGCACACCTGGTGTGCCGAAACGCGTAAACACCTATTGTTAAGACGTAGCATGGAAATTTCCAGAGCGGTGAAAGCGGCCGAGACCCATATGGAAGGGGAAAAACTCGGTGGTAGGGAGCCCGAGAGAGCAACGTTTCTCGAGGCAGTCTCTCGTGGTCGCTCAAAGGTAGCACTCTCGCGCGTATTATACCGGCGTATCGTAGAAGAATATTCGCGAACGCGAAACGGAATACGATAATTAAGACTACCTCAGCGGCTATTAACAAACGGGAACGCCCGCCTGAACAGCGTTACGTGACGTCGATACGAAAGACGTACGTACGGGTCTCGCGTACCTGAATCGCGAATTCGCACTTTGCGAGACGTGCGACCGCCATCTTATGTGGCAATCGTTAATTGTGAACCACCAACATTGTGCAACTATAGTTAACAATAAAAGCAATCGTTATTTGCAAAAATTCAGACGAAAATATCTTTACTTACCCGGAAACTTACCTGAACAAGCGGCTGTCCGGCCATCTTGGTGATAGCGTGGTCCGATCTTCAAGGTCATCACAGATTCTACTTCGGAGGAAGCCATTGATGAGGAAACCGTGGCGGAAACCTGAAAAAAGTTGATATTAGTTGTAGTTACGCGGACAGTTCTCGGTTGTCCGGCTATCTCCCAGACGCGTTGATCCTAGACATCGGTGAGCAGCGGTGATCTACGACATCGGCGATGGTGATGAAGCAGCTGTCGACAAAACCTGAAAATAAAAGAGAATTAGTGGCGTTTTACTTATATCAATGTCGGGACTTAGCCGATCAAGCGGTTGTCCGGCTATCATGGTTCCACGGATGAGGTAGATGAATGATCGATAGTGGAAACGATTGGCAGAACATCCCAGAGGAGGCAACCGTGGCGGGAA